GACTCCCTGTCATGTTGCTTTTACTTTAGCACTTATATATGAAACAGGAATGGACTTGCCTGTCTTCCATATGTTTACGGCTTTACTGGGAATGCTGTAGATTTCCATTCCTCGAACACATGTGACACTACGACCTGTCAAGAATGAGGCTGATATACGAGTCGTTCTCACATGTGGTACATAGATCCAGCAACGTGAATTACTCTATTTGGAAGCATTAGTGTCGTGGCTTCCTTCCTTCCTTCCCTATCAAGCCACTAGACGCCTTAAACAGACATTTTTAACTTGTCTTTCCTTTATATTACTTACAGTTTGAAGAGTTGCTTGGCCACCGATGGTTTTTAGATGATCAGGGTGTCCGCGGGGTCTTAAAAAGTGTCAAAAGTTGATATATGAATTTAGCGAAAATTAAGGCTATTAAACGGCATTTTCCAAGGTGTTACATTTTGTAGCTTGTTTTCAATAAGTATATACATTGTCCAAAGAGGTTGTATTCTACAGTGTGCCTGAATGTAATCATTGCGTAGGTGTGTAGTGTGATTCTGTGTAGTTTATTTATGGCATCCCGTTGGGTTTGACGTCATCTGAACAGGACATCGCACGCTCACTGCTTGATAGCGCGCGAAGGTCCGTTTGCGCCGGTTGCTAAGCAACATCGTTATGGGGAAATGCAAGTCTGCGTCCAAATGGTTGGAAGATAAGGAGGAAGGACAATCAATACTGTATATAGTCAATGTCAGGTAAAGTGTGTCGCCAAGGTAACCGGTTGAAACTCCAAGTGACGATGAGGTCTTAACATGTATGGGAAGGGTCTTAAAAAAGGTCTTTAAAGGGATTACATGTGATTTCAGGATTCCTGCATATACCCTGTTATATAACTTGATAACTTAAAGGGTATTGGACGGTTAAAAACTGTTTTTCAGAGGAGGCGCCGTGGGAAATGTAGTCTTTTATACTCTCGCTGACTACAGACGTCACGATGAGGTGGCCTTTCTTATAAAAACAAAGTATTGGCTCCAACAGTTAGCTTTTGTGTTCACTGATGTCATTCTTACTTTCTTTGTGGTGTGTTTTGTGTGTCCTTCAGTTATCAGACAGTCCGACGGTTCAGGCGAACGGTGAGAGCGTCACATCTGCTGCAGCGCTGGTTAGACCTGGTGAGTTCACGCAGGACTTTTTACAAGTACAATTTCACAATTATTGTTTTAATATTGCCGATATAACAACATCTGACTGAGCTGCAACTGACAAATGCTTTCTCAAGTCATTATTTGGTCTATAAAATGTCATATCTTTGGTATCTGGACTGACAAAACCAGCCATTTAAATACTTCTCCTGACTCTGTATGTGATGACTACTTCCATTCTGGAGAGGATCACAAATACATGGATCCTGAGATTGAAGCTCAAGCCGGTGACGAGGGATTATTAAACATTTTAAGTACTCAGAAAAAGTCTGAATTTTGAGAAAAAATCAAAATGTTGAGAAAGTTGGAATTTTTGGAGAAAAAAAAACAAAATAAGCAGATTTTGAGAAAAAAGTCAGAATTTTGAGAGAACGGTATTCCTCCATCTTGTGACTGTGTAACTCCCTCTCTTGGATATCAGCATGTGAAGGACACTGTTCAGGAACTAGTTGATGCTCTGTATGTGATGACTACTTCCACTCAAGGATCATAAATACATGTAATAAATAAATAATAAAACATCATATTTTTAGGCGCCTTTCAAGGCACCCAAGGTCACCTTACAAGGAATCAAAGGAATACTCTAACAGTTCAAATAACATACAGGGCAGACGGACCAAATTGACAATACATTCAAAAGTGTTTGGTGTATTGAAAGTCTCTGGGTTGCATGAGGTCTCCCGATATTGAAGCTCAAGCCGGTGACGAGTGATACTTTTTTATCATGACATCTTTTTTTCTGTCCCCTCCAGATGACAGAGGGAGACCTACGCCCCCTCCTCCGTCAAAAACCCCTGAACTTGCTAAAAGCGAACCCCTCCTCACAGAATCTGCCTCCTCTGACACAAACACTACTCCCTCTGAACCCCCTCAGGATCTCCCTCTCGAAACTCTCCCTCTTCCCACTCCTGCACCAACTGCCCCTGTTATTGCAGACGTAATGGATGCTCCTCGACCTACCAGAGACCCCACCCCATCTCCCAAATCTGCCCCAGAAGTGCCCGCCTACCCTGCCCCCCTCCCTGCCGCGATACGATCTGCTGCAAAAATCAAGAAAGAGGGGGTGGTGGTGAAGCAGCAGCAGCAGAAAGAAGAAGTAGAAGATGTGCCTCCTCGTTCTCTTTCTACCACGAATGGTGTCGTTGAAGCGGAGCCAGAAAAGCCGTCGGTCGTGGTGCCCCCCGCTCACCTGGAGGCCCCTCTTGAGTCTCCCATCGCACAACCAGAGGAGCTTCGTCTCCCCAATGGCCTCCCACTGCCGGCCCCTCGAGATCCAGAGGTGCCCGAAACTATTACCGCACGCACGACGACAGAGAGAGACGACAGCCCCATCGCCGAACCCGATATCAGCGACGTGGTAGAAACCCCCGTCACTCAGGCGCCAATTCTCCTAACCCCACTTTCTTCTCCTCCTGTGGTTGAAAAGCCCACACCTGTCGAGGAGACTCCGGTTGAGCTTGTCGTCGAGGAGGAGGAAGTGGAGATGTCCGTCGAACCCGAAGAGGAGAAAGCGCCCGTCGAAACTGAAGAGCAAGAAGAATGTCTCGCTCCTACTCAAGTGGAGGTTATTGAAGAATCCCCGGTGCCTGATCCTGCAGAAACGGTACCAGTTGTAGCGGAAAGTGTTGAAGAAATGGAGCTGACTCCTCCCCCTCACACAGAAGAGGCATTGACTCCTCCCCCCCCAATAGCAGAAGAGGTATTGACTCCTCCCCCTCCCACAGCAGAAGAGGAATCGACTCCTCCCCCTCCAACAGAAGATGCAGTGACTCCTCCCCCTCCCACAGCAGAAGAGGCAGTGACTCCTCCCCCTTCCCCAGTAGAAGAGGCGTTGACCCCTCCCCCTTCCACAGCAGAAGAGGAATTGACTCCTCCCCCTTCCACAGCAGAAGAGGAATTGACTCCTCCCCCTGCCACAGAAGAGGATAGGGAGGAAACTGAAACTCCGCCTCCTCCACAGACGCTCCCCCCTGCCCTGGTAGAAGCTACTATGCAAGGTAAGTTTATAGGTTTATAGTTTTATATATAGGTTAAAAATAAACCTTTCGTTTTAATGCAGCCTATCCTGAGATAATACTTTTATTTTGAATTTTTCTTTTAGTTACAATAAAGACATACACAATACACAATATACAGTAAGTAGGTACCCGAAACCTTTACAAGAGAAAGTAAAAAAGCTGGGTATTACATTGACAATTCCTGAGAATAGTCTAAAGCTGCCAGTCGACAGCATCGTAGACCTAAGGGTAACCCACTACCAACAAATATATATATATATCCTGAGATCCTTTAACCGTGCCTTATCATTTCACTTTTAGCTGCAGCCAGTATTTTATTGCTTATTAAAATGTGCTATACAAATAAACTAACCTTATAGGGAAGCACCGATTTCTCAGCCAATACCAGAATGACTCTTTAGTTCACATGTGTCAAACTCAAGGCCCGGGGACCAAATCAGGCCCGTGGTGGATTTAATTTCGGCCCGCAGGATAATTTCTAATTACTATTCGATCTGGCCCGCCGGCATTGGTGGTCATGGAGGATAGGGGTGATGTGGTCGGAGCGTCGGGTGGAGGTGAGCAAGCAGGCAGCTGAGTTTTGGACATATTGAAGTTTTTTTTTTAGTATGAATGCAGGTGATCCAAAAAAAGTATAATATGCGATTTCTGCACACATGGACCAATCAAAATAGATGAATATTGGTGCCTATGTGAGACAGTAAATAGGGCAGTAAATATCTTGTCAACAAATTCATCAGATAACAAAAGATACCCATTCATTTGTGGAAGGTCAATATGGGTCGAGCTCTAGTTACAACATGATAATACGTGTAGTTAATATCTCTGAATCTTCTCTCAGGTTATGTTTGTGTTGATCTGAGGCTCATTGTGTTTTACTTCCTTCCTTCAGCTGCTGTGTCTGTGCCAAAGAAGAAGCGGAAGATGAAGGATCTGAACAAAAAGGAGACCGTAGGCGACCTCCTCGATGCCTTTAAAGAGGTGTGTGTGTGTGTGTGTGTGTGTGTGTGTGTGTGTCCTCCCCCCTCAGACTCTATCACACCAGCTGTCGCACTTTCACAGAAACTCCATCTCCTCTGATCCGGCTTACATCTTGTCATCTTCGCAGGAACATTTATTTCTCTGACTTTAGTCTTTCGGAGTCAGAGGGGAGGAGGAGGGGAGGGGGGAGGATGACCGGCTGATAAGAGATGAATTACAGAGCTGTGTGTTGTTTAAACACGAGGGGGAGAAAGACAGGAGGGATGATGTGTGTGAGGAATAAAGAGAGAGACAGTAAATCCACAACATACTCTCACTGCAGAGCAACTGAGAACAGATCATGTGTGTGTGTGTGTGTGTGTGTGTGTGTGTGTGTGTGTGTGTGTGTGTGTGTGTGTGTGTGTGTGTGTGTGTGTGTGTGTGTGTGTGTGTGTGTGTGTGTGTACGCGGAGTAAATTGCCTACAGTATTTTTTCTTTTTTCTGAATGACTGTAATAATAAAACACATTTGGTCAGAGTAGAATGAATGTAGGTGTGTATTGTGTGTGTGTGTGTGTGTGTGTGTGTGTGTGTGTGTGTGTGTGTGTGTGTGTGTGTGTGTGTGTGTGTGTGTGTGTGTGCTTGTCAGTGCTTGTTTGCAAAGTAGATTTTCCAGTGCTTTTTTATTTATTTTTGTTAACTTACTGGAAACAGAAATCCAAATCTGTGGCTCATACAGTATGTGTGTGTGTGTGTGTGTGTGTGTGTGTGTGTGTGTGTGTGTGTGTGTGTGTGTGTGTGTGTGTGTGTGTGTGTGTGTGTGTGTGTGTGTGTGTGTGTGTGTGTGTGTGTGTGTGTGTGTGTGTGTGTGTGTGTGTGTGTGTGTGTGTGTGTGTGTGTGTGT